AATAATGTAAAAGGAAATGAATCCAGAAAGAAACTGTGTAAGTCATAAAGTAGTGAACAGAGTCATTAGTGAAGGCTATTGTTAAATGTAAATAAGTATTGATTTAAAAAGCTAAATATCAAGATCAAACTAAGATTCCAAACATTAATATAGGATGTTAGGATATATGAGAGAATAATAGAAAAAGTGGTTCAAATAATCTTATATCCTTGGAAGGAGAACATAGCTATTGATTTGCTAATTTAAGATAACAATCATGAATGGGTAAAATGATTTACTGAAAGGTAAATACTATCTGGTGATACTGATGACTCAATGAAAGCATGTATGGTAATAGAGATATCAGACAAAATATAACTGAAGGTAAAAACCATCCTGAAGGATCAAGGGAAATATCAGCCAAGGTTCTGGTGTGAAACGTTCAAATGGTTCATTAAGGAATATTTAATGTTTAATGAATGAACTATTTTCAGCGACCTGGGAGGAGGTAAGGAAACAAAGAAGGGAAGGTAATGCACCCAGGGACTATAGACAGTGGGGAGTCCTTGCCATTTCTGGGTCTGAAAGGGCAGGGGTGGGGCAATGACATGAGTACCACAGGGAACCAGAGCTCTGAGGAATGGCTGCTTGACCTGAGCTGTGGCCTTTTGTACAGGATATAAAGAGTTTTAATAGAACATGTAAAAAGATTACCTTTATATAAGACTTTGTATGCATGATAGCCCTGCAATGTTGCGACCAGAAGCACAGAAAATGGAGCAATTCTACCCCATTACTAGTGATGTAGCCTCATGTGCAAAATGGGAAAAGCACTGAAGTCAGCACCCCAGTGGCAGCACCAATCCTTTTTTTTTTAAAGATTTTTATTTATTTATTCATGAGAGACACAGAGACTAGCAGAGACACAGGCAGAGAGAGAAGCAGGCTCCCTGTGGGGAGCCTGACGTGGGACTCAATCCCAGGACCCTGGAAGCATGACATTAGCTGAAGGCAGAGGCTCAACCACTGAGCCACTCAGGTGCCCCATCAGCACCAATCTTAACAGAGTACACTTAGGCTTTGCCCAGCCCCCCACCCTAATCAGGGTGTGAGCATAGGTAATGATTGCTCCTGATCACTTGGGATGATCATTTGTGTCCCATATACATTTTGCCATGTTTACTTTGGAGCTTCTTGTGACCTTCTGGAATATGTATTGACTCCATAAGAAAATGCAGCCTCACATTTTAAACAATTGGATTTTCTAAATACTGACGGCTGTGCTGTGGTGGGTCTCGCAGGGTGACATGAAGATTAAAGGATTGTTAAAAAAAAATCAAACAAACTTCAATCTAGAAATCCAGAGATCTAATTGACTTTACTGAATGATTCCTGAATGGGGCAGCATCCCATCTAGCAAGTAGAGGGGAGCTCCAAGGGCTATGGGAAGGGAAAGGTTTTTAAAGGTAGAACAAGGAAGTCATAAACAGAAAAAGGGATTATTTCAGGTGAGGGCAACATCAGTTGTGGATGAAGAGTTTTACTAGGTGGGTTACCTCATCTTCCTTTGGGGGATGGACAGGGCCCAAGTGACAGATTGCCTTTTGGTCCTGATCAGAAAATTCCTGGCTGACTGGTTAAAAGTTTCATTCCAGGGAGGTTGAAACTGCAGGTAGGTGAGGTTTCAAGTCTTAGTTTGCTGACTTGGCCTAAGTGACGCCAAGTTGTGGGTTTCTTTGAACCCAATACACATGAAGTGCTTAGGACAGAGCTGGTCACAGAGTGAGCTTTCATTAAACTTTGGAAATTATGAGGATTATTATAGGGTATAGATATAATAGAGCATGCAGGAGCCAGAGTGCTCAGGAAGGGTCACCTACATTGGGGCGGAGCAACCATGCATCCATGGGGCAGAGGGAGACTGACCCGGGAACTGGGGCCACAGTACTGCCTGGAGAACACAGCACCTCTTCAGAGACCATTTCAGCCACGACTGTCAAAGCGTCAGGATTCTAGAGACTTTGTTGGAAGGGAATATTCTAGGAAAATCAAGTGAGTATACTATGATAAAGGACAAATTTAGCCTGATGGGTATGGGATGTGAGACGGTCAATCTTCTCTAGGGTCTGAGCCTTGGAAAAGGGGATTGAGTCCCAGATGGTGTGATTCCCTGAAGATTCTTCCCTGGAGACCTGGATCCTAAGAACCTTGCCCCCACATCCACCCCAGGGGCCCAGGTCAGGTCAATCTGAAATCCCATCTGAGGCATGCCCAGAGTGTCTGAGTCATAGAAAGGGAATTTGCAACTAAGGGAACTGAATTTTATGTTTTGATAGTTACTGTCAAATCAAACCCCAAAGAATAGTGTGTGCTCTCCTTTAACAACAAAACAGTGTGAGCTTTTCTCCATAGCCTTTAAAATACCATTGCAAAGCTTTATTTTTTATTAAATTAGCTGTAAAAGTCAAAGTTCCATTCTTTTCAAAATTTGACTTTTTAAACATCTAAACATCTGGTGAAACTGGGCATTTTTACATGAAAAATGACAAACATTAACTTATTCTGGGACTTGCTTGTAGCTGCCGTCTATCTGATTTATAGATGGGTTCTTTATTTTCTTACTACTGACTAGTAGGCACTTTATTAGAAGATTATTAGCCCTTGTCTGTCATATGTTGGAAATACCCTGCTCATTTTGTGGTTTGCCTTTTGATTTTGAACATACCAATTTTGTCTTTTTCATTTTTAACTAGATAGGTTTTAAATTTAAATATTTTCTGATCTTCATACCATGCACAAATGGCCTCCTCCACCATGTTAAGTTTTTTTGAGAACATTTCTTAGAATGTTTGAGTGTTAACTCTATAGAGGATGCTCTGAACCTGCATGGGCTACGGATGTCACAGTCCACGAGTTCGTGGATTCAAACTGGAATGGTTTCCTGGAACCGAACTTGCTTTCCCTCTAGAGCCCCCCTTTGGGCAGTTGTGGAAAAGATGCTCCTCCTCAGTGCTGGCTAGCTGGTCACTTGGGCCTTTCCCAGCATGTTCCAGGCTTTCCTAGGCCCCATTCCGGGAAGTGATCCTGCATCCCAGGCCCAGGGTAGGGGTGGCTGGGCATCAAGGATCTGGGAGCACGGGTCTCTTGGTTCCTATTGGGCCTTCAGCTGCGCCTCTGTCCCTCTAGTCCCCGCTGGCATTGAGGATGCACCAACCTCCCTTCTTGCCTCTTTTATATGCCTAAAGAGGACCCTCTGTGGGGCTGCTGCCCTCTCCTCAGCCCTGGGGCCCCCACGTCATTCTCAGTCCGGAGGGGATGAGTTGCCTCTTCAGTCACACATTTTAGAAGTGGTGGGGCAAGCCCACCCTCTGCCCTCCCCAGCACTTCCAGCTCACATCAGGGCCACGCCTGCTTCCCAGGCCGCACCAGGACAGAGCACTGATTCGTGCTTCCTTCCAATCTGTCCTTAGCCTGGGCACCAGGAAGGAGGAGGAAGACAGTTCTCAGACCGCCTTTTGCCAGTGACTCTTCCTCCTGCCTGTGTCGGGAGAGAAAGGGTAACCCTGATCACATGGTGCCCACCCAGACCAAACTCAGCCTTTCTCCCAAAACTCCCCAGTGTCCCTGACTCAGGGAACCGGCTCTTGGTCTACCCTGTTGCTCAGGCCAGAACTGGAAGGAACATCAGCCTGGAATCCTGCCCCTTAGCCTCCATCCAGCCACCAGCCCTGTCATCTGGGCCTCCCAAACACAGCTTGGGCAGATCTGCTTCTCCCCATCTGCCTTCCCTCCTCTGGCTCCAACACCACCATCCCTCAATCTGTGCCCTAGCTTGTCTTCCTTCCGTAGGCCTGTGATTCCCACCTGGGCTCCCCTCTCCGATTTAGAGAGGTGTCCGGAACATGAAGCTGGTCATACCACCTCCCTAGACTCCCAAGGTTTCCTGCTGTCCTGTGTACAGGAGGGTCTCCGCAGGCATTCACAGGGACCCTCATGATCTGACTGCCCTCTTTTCTAGAGTCTTCACCCCCTGCTCTGGGCTCTGCCCAGCTACTGGCTCCCAGTGTTCTGCTGAGCGCACACCAGGAGACTTGACTGGTTTCTTTTGTGTGCAGGATCTTGTGCAGTAGGCTGGTGTTTGTTGGGTGCTGCCCATCAGTCGTGATTCAACCTACCTTTTGTGGCTGCTCCGGCCAGGGCGCCAGGAGCCCTGATCACACCAGCTTCTGCTTGTGGGTGCTGGGGACTGGGTATTTTCTCCTAGCCCCTTGACCATCCGTCTGCTTTACGCCACATCCTCAACGTGCAGGCTCTCCCACCACAGACTGCCAGAGTGACTCCTGGGCAGCAGTTCTTACCTCAGAAACCACTGCAAATTGTAAGGAAACCCCTCCCCCCCAGGGGACCTTTGTTATGTTGAGAAATAGTTGGGACCACTGGTGTGTCCTCTCCTGGCCCTGCTGGGTCCCTCAAGCATCTCTTTACTTCCTTTACACCAGTTTATACCACTTCCTTGTTGTGCTGCATGTGGCTGCTGATTATGCCATTCAGAACATTCCAGGAGAAAAAAAGTGTAGCTTTATGTTCTGCACTCTTTAGGGTAAATTGTTTGGGGAAGAGCCTGATTTGTGGAGAGGAGGTGCAGGGACGGGAGACAAGGATGGAATTCTTCAGGAACTTTCTAAGCAGACTCCACTTTCTGGTGGTTTACTGTGTGTTTCTGACTTTTCTGTTTCGCCATGAGTCAATTTGAGGTGTTCAGTGAGCTTGGCCATTGGAATGAGAGTGAATTCAGAACTTAAGATTTGATGTCATAAGTGATTAGCCATGCAGGTGCCACATACACCTCCTCCTGCACAGGGTCACTTTTGCTGTTACAACATTCCCTCTCTCCTCATCCTCCCTAAGATGAACAAAGCTCTGTGACCACCTCACCTGGAACTTTTCCTGCCCTCTCTTCTGATTCCCCCTTTGAATTCTCCTCCTTGCCCCGTCTCTCACCCTGTCTGCTTGCCCCACAGATACCAAGGAGCCACCTGGAGGGGCCGTTGGGAATCAGCCCAGGAGGGAAACGCCTGGCTGTCTGGCTTTGGAGGGCGGTTCTCATCTGAGATAGGGGCAAGTGCATCTACAGAACCAGCCAGGCAGAGCGTCCACCCTGCATCCCAGATCCCTGAGGAAGCTCACGTGACTCCAGCTGTCGCCACCCCCTGGGCACCTGTGCACTCTGCCTATGGAGCCCAACCTGCAATTGACCCAACCCTCTGGCCTGTCATGGGAACCCCCTGTGCTGTCCACCCCTGCATGGGGTACCCAGCCCCTTGGAGTTACCCGTGGGTGCCCATTGGCAGTCCTCTCTGGTTAGGGCATCCCCCTCCAGCTGCCCCAGCACCTTCAGTCTGGCCCTGGGGCTTCTCCAGCTTTGATCCCCAAGTGCGAAGCCAGCACCTGGCCACCATGGCCCCCAGGGGATTTCCTTGCCCCCGGGGACCCCCACCCCCATGCTCCTCAGTCCCTCTGGCTCTGAGCAGGGACGCCTCTGGCTACTCTCCCCAGGTGGGATGGCAGGCTCCTGCCAGCTCAGCCTTCCCAGCTGCCGTGGAGAGACCGTCCAGAGGAGCTTCTCACTTGAAGAGGTGCCAAGCCCCTCCCTCAGAATGGGCTTCCAGGTTCAGCATTTGGGCCCCTGCACCACCCTCCAGCCCAGAACTCTGCCCCCTGCCCCCCTCCCCCAGTACAGACTCTCCACCTGAGCCCTGCTGTCCCCACTGCCCTCGGCCACCCTGCAGGGCCTGCCGCTGCCTCTTCTAGCCCCGAGGTGTTGTTGGGCGCCTCCCACTCCAACACTTAGGGAGCCGTGGGATCCAGTGAGTGCAATGTTTATTTTAATGTAACATCTGCCCTACTGTAATGCATAGAGGTAAAGCATGCATTCATATAAATTATTTAATGGTGACTGTGTTTTTGAAATGGAAATAAATAACAGTGTGCTGTCAATTGTATCTTTCTTATTTTTCTTACATTAGTATATCTTAAGATCTAGTCTTCCCTGTATATGTTTATAGTACAGTTCATTTATGGTTTCAAATGTATTAACATAAAGTTTTCAGTATTATTACTTCCTATCATTTGTAGGATCTGCTGTGTCCTACTTTTCTTTCCTAATATTGCATATGCTAAAGGAAGGAAGAAGGAAAAGAAAATCTTGCCTTGGGTTTGTCTGTTTTATTAGAACCTACTGTGGACACACTGATTCTCTTCTTGTGTCTTCTGAAGTGTCTCTTCACTTCTATTTATTGCAGGCTTCTTGTTCGTTTTGTAACTTCTTAAAGATGACACTCAGTCAACTCATGTTTCGCTTTCATTCTTTTCCAATATGAATTTTTAATGCTATAAACTTCCTTTTAAGTATACCACTTTATGTGCACCCCGCAGTAGTGATATGTGATATGTTTATTTTTGTATCTTCTTAAACAATCACCATTAAGTTGTCTTCTTGTTCCAGACAAACCAGAATCCTTTCTGTGGTTTTAAATGCCTCTTGTAGCTCTCTAGAATATCCCGATCACTATTCCATTTGCTGTTGCTGTTACAGTAGACTACTAATTAAAGGAGAGCAATGTGTATGTAATGTAGCTGGAACATTAACATAGAAGTTGTTTGCTTCTACTATTCATATACTAACAGCACGTGTGCTACCCTGCAAACTACAGTTTCACGGAGCAGCATTTTGAACATTTGAAAAAGTGTTTTTGGAGTTTGAAATCATTGATCTGGTAGGATCATTTGAATTAACCTTGAAGAATGCGCCTCCGTTCCCGAGATCCACAGGTTCCTGGAAAATCCAGCCTATGGTGGGGTGTCTGTGCCAGGCTTCCGAAGGTGTGGCGGGGAAGGGGCCCTGGTCAGGAGGACCTGGGCTGGAGTGGCAGGGTGAGCATGGCCCGGCCTCTTCCCCGGGGGAGGATCCACGTGCAGTGAATGTTTCTTCACTGTGCAGTCCTCCAACCTGGGAGACCATTCCCTCCTCTTTACAACTTCCCTCTAGGCTTTGTGTTCTGGAGGATGCTTTCTCTAAAAAAGATGTGAAATGCTCTTGACTCAGACTGAGGCTTCTCTTGGACTGTGAAGATACATTCCTCTTTTTGAATGGATTGCAAAAGTCTGAACAGACCAGAGAGACTGCTGGTGACAGGTGCCCATGTGACTAGATGCCCCAGGAGGCCATGGAGGCAGGCACTGGCCTCAGGAGATCTGGGCTGCTCGGCCATCACCTCCCACAGTGTCCCCAAGGACCAACCTGAACCAAGTCAGGGAGCCTTTGTGTCACCACAGCCTACCACAGACCTGGCTCCACCAGGCACACAAAGCACAGGGAATCGCAAACATCACTTGCTGCTGGGACAGGACCCTCAAGGGAGCTTCTTGGCAGGGAGGTTGAGGACAGATAAAATTTGCACCTCCTGGTCCCTATGGCTGTGCAGTGCTCTGCTTGGAAGGTGTGCCCCTGCCCCCTTCCAGAAACCCCCAGAAGCCCCTGCCCTCCCCCAGAAACACAGGGGGCTGCTGCTGTGTCCGGAGCATTAGAGCAGAGGAGGGGAGGAAGCTGGGCAGTGTGCGGATGTGAGCACCCAAAACAGACACCTAGGTCTGCCCTGTTCCACAGCCTTGCTTTCCCCACTTCACCTGGCCCCTCTCACCCTCTGAACTCACAGAACTGAACTCAACTGTAAAGCCTGGTTGTTCCTATGCCAACCTTATAGTTTTCCCACATTCCTATACTTTGTATTCTATTTCACACTAGCTTTTGTTACTTCAATTGCTCTATTTTCAGGGGCTGCATTACATATTACACATAATCACTTAAGAAAATGAGAATTCATGGTCATTCATCATCCATACAATATACAGCTAGATACAATGGACACAGAATGTGATGACACGGTGGCCAGATGTCCGCGGCTGTAGGTCTGTCTCCGGCCTAGTCTTGCTTTGATAATGAGATGGGCAGGTGTAGGAGATTGGGCCAACTGCCCCAGCCTGGCTTTCTCTCCAGGGTCACAAGGACACACGTGAGTCCCTGTTCCCCGACTCTTCTTCCACAGCCTGCACTGGTTATACCTGGACTTGGCTACGCCTGCCTCTGCTGGCCCAAGCTCCACACTGCACTGCGGTGTCAGCTCTGCCCTGGGTATAGGGCAGGGGCTGAAGAGAAGTCTTGGCTGCATCCCAGGAGGAGGGATCCAGGCTATAAAAAGAGCCACAAGCTCCTCACCCTATCTCCCTTCCTCTTAGGCTTGTGACTCAGTTTCCCCAGCCTTACTGGCCCTTAAAGACAGCCCTGCCAACAAGATGCCCTCCCTCATTGGTGACTCCGTCTTGGCCAGGCTGGCCCACTAGTGCTGGGGAAGCTGCCTTCCCCAACTGTCACCGCCAACCTGGGCTGACTTACCTCCCCTAGGGTGCTCACATCTCCCAAGGGCCAAGTGAGGATAAATTACAGGGGCAGGGCCTCGAGTGGGCAAACCTCATGCTGGGCTCTGTGCCAGTCCTTCTGCTCTGCACCTAACGATGAAGGCTCCCTGACAAGGTCAGCTGATGGGAGGCCTTGAAGGGAGGGAATCATTCAAGGGAGGAAAGAAGGGACAAAGCCAGGGCTGTTTACCCTCAATTTGCCTCCCGGGCTCTAGTTCCCCTGGGAAGCCTTTCTAAGGCCACTCTGACACCCTGAGATCGGGTTCTGGTGGCATCCTCACTCCCCTTGTCATTCAGCTGAGGGTGGGGGCCTCTTGCTGTTCCCCCAGGCTTCTCAGCTCTTCCATCACCTGCGTAACCAAAGCTCTGAAACAAATTCACTTGGTTTATAAGACTTCCAGGGGCTTATCTCCTGACAGATTGGCTGCACCATGTGGCAATGCTAAGGAGGGAGCAGGAGGGTGGGGACCTGCACCCTTGACAGGATGCTGACTTGGGGAAGACCGGGCAGCCCTGCTGTGGTCTGGGACTCCGAGTCTGGGGAATCCCAGAACCTTCCTACTCTCCTCTTCACTGCTTGGCTAGTTAGCATTTATTGCAACATGGGGCATCAGGGTGGGAAAAGGTTGTGCAAGGGAGACGTCAGGGTGACTGCTCAGCTGCACAACCAGCCTCTGAAAGATGTGGCCACGGCCCAGCCAGAGGTCTCCAGGGACACACCTGCCATGGACAGGTGGGCTTCCTCATCTCCAGCGACAGATAACACGGGGTATCTCACTGGAGGGTGTCAGAAAGAAACCATTACTGGATTGGGGATTGGCTGGGTGGTTTGGGGAAGCGTCTAAGGAAGCAGGAGTTAACTGCATGGTTATTGCCAGAGTGTGGAGACAATTCCATGATGGGCTTCTGGATGAACCTTATCTACATGGAGGGGAAACCAGCACAGACAGAAGCTCACGTTCGCCACAAGAAGGAGGCATTGGTGTTTGGTTTCTCTGGGCGGAGCCACGACTGTAGGGTGGCCTGGTGTCTCCCTCAAGGGTGGTCTCAGGGGGATCTAACCTGAGGTCGGTGGTCTGGGAGGCTCTGTCCCACTGAGAGCGGAACTGCCCAGCTGGCCACACCCGACCGCCTTCCACATGGTGGGGCTGCTCCTTTTTCTTTCTCTATAGGTATTGTATAAGACACGTGTGAGTATGGCCATTCCCTGCTCAAGCTCCGGTAAGGCCCTGCACGGCCAGCCACCCCTTTGCCAGGCTCACAGGCCAACGGCAACAGTGTCAGCACCTGTGCCAGCTAACGTAATCCTCGCTGCAGTCCTGCTAGTGTGGCTGGTACTATTATCTCCATTTTCCAGATGAAGAAACTGAGGCACAAGGAAGTTAAGGCCTTGCTAAGGCCATGCTCTAGAAAGTGGCGGAGCTGGCTGGCTGCCTGTGACAGGCTGGCGGCAGATTCCGTGCTACGGACCGTCACACGTGCCCCACCCCCCGTGGGCCAGACCCTCCAGTCCCCGTGAGGCCCACCTTCTTCTTTAGTTTGTGCTTCTGTGTGTCGTGTCCACTGCCTTGAATGTCTTACCTTAAAGTGATAACAGTGGTGATGGTCGTAATCGTGATGACAGCTGCTGGCATCATCTGAAAACCCACTGTGTGCCAGGTGCTGACTTGGCACACATCAGCCCCTGTAGGCTGTGCCTCAGCCTTGTGGGGTGGGGGTTCCACTGCCATTTCACAGGTGGGGACACTGAATCAAGAGGTGGCTGAGGTCCCCTCAGCCAAGCAGCCTTAAGTCCACTCCTTCTGCAGGACAGGCTTTGTCGTCACCCCAGGGAGGCCCTCACGCCCCATCACTCACTCAAGCACGTTCTCCTTGCCCCATCCCCGTGATTCCCACCCATCCTGCTACTGTTCCTGGGTCCACCCTCCCAGGTGAAACTGCTCTGGGAGTTTCTGAGGTGGGAAAGAGCTTACCCTCTGGGTGGCTGTGAGCTGGGTATAGCTGGCAGGAGGTCAGGGGTGGGGCATGCCTAGCGCACACAGGAGCCCACAGACTCGGGCTGGGGTGAGAGCAGGAAGCAGTGAGCAGACATGGGGGCGGAGCTATAACTTCACAGACTCTGGTGGCCAGTCGGAGCTGGGCAGCCACACAGGTCGGGGGTCTCACTCCCAGGCACCAGCCAGGGCTGGAGGATCAGCAGACAGGGGCCCACTAGCCCCAGCTATGGGAGCTAGGAGGGCTGGGGGACTGGAGGTGAAGGCCTGACACTGGGCCCGGGTTTACAGGCACCTGTCGGCCTATTTAAGAATTCAGGTCTGGCCTGCAGGAAAAGCCAC